TGGGTTCTTTCTCACTCCTTATGAATACTAAGAAATGGGTAGTGAGAATTAAAAGATGGGTGCAAAATATGCTCTCTTGTCGGCAATGGAAGTGAAAATGCAATCAGATGGGAGATAATAAACACAGAGCTTGCGAAGCGTAGCAGAGCTTCTGGCTATTGGCATCTGCAACATTCTTTCTCGTTGGCCATTTGGCTGGAAATAGTATTCCCCATACATAATGTCAATCTCTTGCCAGCTGAAGTCACAACTTCGTAACATGATTTGCAAACCCTAAGCATCATGCCCTTCTCTAATATCCTTTTTAATGTCCCAATTTCTCCATTTTTTTTCATTTCTCTTTGAATCTTCTATATAAATAAGAGGCATTTTAATATGTTGATATCCCAAAATAGTGAATATTTGTATTTTTTTACAATTTTTTAACTAAAAATATCACAAATACACTATTTTATTTTTGAAAGATCATAAAAAAAAATATTCACTATTTTAGGACATTAAGGTATCAAAATGTCTCTTAAAAGTTAATAATCTAAAAAAAATAAAAAATAAAATTGAGAAATTGAAACATTATAGGGAACGTTGAAAAAGTCACACTGATACCCCTAACTGCAGTCACTCTCACACAGTGAAACTTTGAAGAAGGTGAAAAGTGCCTCGGCTATAATTCAACCCAACTTGGAGATTCCCATGCTGCTGTCATCATAACAATAATTGAAATGTTCGTGAGGTTAGGTTTCTCAACTAAAAGAACAAGAAGAAAGGTGGGGAGATTTTAATGGGAACATAAAGGAGGATTCAGTGGATGAGCATTAAACGGCACAATTAATAAAGGATGATTAATTTGAAGATAAGGATGCATGGGTAAATGGAGAAAACCGAAAAAGCTGCTTAGGAAAACTGAGAAATTAAAATAAAGAAGAATAAGAAGAAAGGTTGCGTGGGAAGATGAACAAAATGAGTGAGAGCAAGTGTATAATTATGCTATGCTATTACTTCGACTGCCCACGTATCCAAATTTGATGCCACATTCCGCAAATTATCATTTTTTGTTTGAAGAAAAGGTATATAGGTAGTAAAAAAAAAATGTTTGGTTCTTTAAATTTTCACGCCTGAGAAATCTTTATTACTCAAAATGCCAGTTTTTTTTTTTTTTATTTTATCAAACCTAACCTCACGAACATTACTTGTTCCTGATGGGCGTGAGGCTCTAACATGGTAGTAGAAAGGAACACGTTTGTCAAGATGTTTCTGAGGTTAGACATCGTGGAGGCAATTTCCTACAAAGCCCACGCGCGCTCATGTTCATACAATAGCCGTATCCAATAGCCTCACGTATACTCGAGGTGGGTGAAGTTTCATCAGCTAAGTACTTTGAGTTTAGTTTTCAAATATTCAAAACCTGAAGTTGATCATATAACATACCTTACTAAGGTGTTTGATGCTGCTACTTTCCACAAACGAGTTTGTCTTGGGTTAAAATAATGGCATTCAATAATCGCTTAGCCTCCCGTATACTCAAGGTGGGCAGTCTCTGTTCTAGTGAATCCCAGCATGCAACTCGCTTGGAGCCTATTTGGTCTTTATTAGTATTATTTTTGTTTTTAAAACTGTTTGTAATATAATTTTTAAATTTTTTTTTCAATACAAAACAAAAGGAAAAAAAACTCTATTTGGTTGGGGTAAAACTTACAGTATTAGGATTAAAAGAGTAAAAAAAATATTTTATAAAATTAAAAAACTAAAATAAAATATTATATAAAATTAAAATACTAAATGTATAATTTAGTCTTAAATTTAAAACATTCCTCCAAACAAGTTTCTTATTTTTTTTGTTTTTAAAAACAAAAAAATTGTTTTTGAAAACAAAAACCAAACAAGATTTCTAAGCTTTCGTCTATCAAGAAAATTACCGAACGGCTATGTTCTTGGCATGAACTTTCAAGCCTGAGAAATTTGGGTCTGTTTGGTTTCTGTTCTTATTTTTTTGTTTTTAAAAACTATTGTATAATACAGTTTTTAAAAATTATTTTTAAAACAAAATAAAATAAAAATTTGTTTGGTTATCTCAATTAAAAAGTAGTATTAGAATTAAAAAATAAATTAATAATGATGGTTATAGGGAGTCAATGATAATGATTAATAATAAAAATTGATCAAAGTAATTATAATTTTCAATAATCAAATATAGTGTATCTTAAAAATAAAAAAAATAAAACAAAACAACTCAAAGTTGTTTCTATTTTTTTGTTTTAAAAAAAATAAAACAGTTTTGAAAATAACTAAATAAAAAATACTTATCCATATAAATTTTTAAATTTTTCTATTTTTAAAAGAAAAAAAATTTCTTAAAAATAAAAAACAAACAAGCCCTTTGTCTTTCTTCCTCAAAATACCATTGTTTAGTCGATGATTATTTGTTGCAGGGAGTTGGCTCTAACATGCAACAAAATTGATCGATACTCTGCAATCAACTTTGCCAGCTTCACATATCTTCAATTTTAGAAGACTCGGATCCCATTTTTTATGTTTTTTTTTTTTTCGTTCACTTAAAGGCACATCAAAAGGGGCAAATAAAGCTGTACACAGCATGTACGTAAAGCTAAAGCAGATCATTGTCAATTGCGTTTTCTCTTATCATATATAAGTGAAGATCGACAGTATGAATATGATCGTCATCTGCACTGAGCCAGATCAAAACATAAAATGCTAGAGCCAAAATATTCCATGGAATTCGTCCCACAAGTTCTCGTCATCATCACTTAAACAATCATAATATACCCCAACGTCTGATCCCATTGAAGGCGAATCCTCCCAAAGAACCGTGAGATTTGGAAACTTGTTCTGCAGATAGAAGTCTCCAAGTTGACCATATTGAAACCCGCGCAGATCCAAAAATTCAAGCTTTGGACAAGCACAGAGTATTCGACGAACACCGTCCGAGGTTATTACATGATTAGTCATTTCGAGATGCTTCAAGTTTGGCATCGTAGCAGCAATCGCCAAGGCTTCGTCGTCCTGTGAAGGCTTGTCAGCAGAAACCCAATGGTTCTCGTTCATGTTCCTACAGAACCTTTCCAACAGCTTGCAGTTCTTCCCGATTACTTCAATCCCATTCGCAGTCAAGTTCAGACAATTGCTCACGTCTAGAAAAGTGATTGACGACAACCTTCCTGCAATCTCCTCCATCATGGAATCACTTATGTTGCACCCCGGCACACACAAAGTGTGGAGACACCCCGCACTTGCAACACGCACAGATCAAGATAAGAAACACAAAAGAAAGTCACAAAGTTAAAAGCAAAGATTGAATGACTTAATGGGCTCTATCCTATTCCTTAGGTTTAGCATTCCATGTTATTTTGTATTCCAAGAAAACGTGTGAAAAAGAATATTCAGAAAATATGCTTACTGATCGGCAATGGAAGGGAAGATGTAGTCAGATTGGAGACCAGAAACACAGAACTTGTGAAGGGAACCAGAGCTTCTGGCGACAAGCATCTGCAACATTCTTTCTAGCTGGCCAGGTGGCTGGAAAAAGCAGCTCCAGTTCAAAATGTCAATCTCTTGCCAGCAATGAGGTGAACTCACGACTTTGGCCCATGATTTGCAAACCCTAGGGATCACGGCCAGTCTCTCAAGGAGAGAAACTTTGCAGAAGATGACAACTAGCGCGTCGGCTATTAATCCATCCCATCTGGGATATTCCGATGCTGCTGCCATTCTAACAAAATTGAAATTTTTGTTGTTGTCAAGGTTTCTCAAATTGGAATGAAATGAAAACTGTATGAACAAGAAGAGAAGAAAAAAGATTTAAATGGGCCACACAGGCGGGAGGAATATAAAGCAGGATCCAGTGGATGAACATCAAATGGCACAATTGATAAAGGAGGGTAAATGGAGAAAACCGAAAACGCTGGTTTGAGAGAGAAGATGAAAGGTTGTCCGGGAAGATTAACAAAATGAGAGGGAGGGGATTGAACAGTTTACAACTTTAAATGGAAAAGTAGAGAAATGCGGCGGCCAAAATAAATTAGGAAAATTTCATTAAACTCCTCTCACAAAACTTACTGGAAACATCATTTCAATCCCTATGGTAACCATTTGGTCAAAGTTGAAGTTTATCTTTCGAAGGAAATGACACAAATAATTCTAATTCCCTACGTTTTATTTTCCATGTAACACTAGCTCATTTTTTTATATAAATTATTTATGTGTCTAATTTCACTTATTTATATTTATAATGATATAATGCTACTGCTAAAAATTACAAATTTTATATATGTCAATTATTCATTTCCATATGTCAGTCCTTCATTTTTTTTATATAAGTTGTTTACGCACGTAATTTCACTTATTTTTATTGATAATAGTATTATATTATTAATAAAAGTTTTTAATTTTTTTTTTTACATTAATTATTCATTTACTACATCGATCAGCTGGAAACTTTCCCTACATTAGTTGTTTTTATTAAAAAGGATTAGAGTTATTTGTATTATTTTCCTCAAATTTAATTTCCATTTAATCCAAATGGGACTCATAGGGATTAGATTAATGTTTCAGAATTTTAGAAGGGTTGATTGTAAATAAGTTTGGTACGTAGTCTAATGAAATCTTCCCCAAAATGAATGAGTAAACAAATAAGGGTGGCAATTACCTTTTTTGTCATCTTCCCACACGACCTTTCTTTTCTCATGCTGTCAGTGGTTACAATTATTTTGTTTTTAATAAATGTGACAACAAATGTGAGCCGGCCAAAAATTTGCTATTTTAGATGAATGCTTATTTTAAATTTCAAGTCTAAGCCGCTAGCCCAAAAATGTTCAATGTTAAGTTATACTACTATATTATAAAATGCATTAATGTTAATTTTTAAATTAAATACATATACATCCGTTTTATTTTATCTTAATCAATGTAATTACAAGAATCTCCATTTCATTTTTAAAATTTTATTTTCAATTTGTGACTTTAAATGTCATTTTTAATGCTTCACCTTCAGTGACTTTATCCTTGTAATTTATTTACCACATCCAAATTTGACGCCACATTCCACAAACCATCGTTTTTCTTGTGTTGAAGAAAAGGTGTGGGCAGTAAAAATACTTGGTTCTTTAATTCTTCACGCCTGAGAAATCTTTCGTGCTCCAAGTGCCACTTTGCCGGGATCATTATTCGTTGCTCATGGGCGTGCTGCTCTAAAGGCTTGCCCACAGTATCCCATTTCCTACAAAGCCCATGTGCATTCATGTTCATACGACAGCAGCGTATCCAATAGCCTCACGTATAGTCAAGGTGGGTAAAGTTGCATCAGCTACCTTGAGTTTAGTTTTCAAATATTCAAAGCCTAAAGTTGATAGATGCTTTGTGAAGATAGCTGCAGCTAGAAACATTGTGGGCATATGTCGAACAGAAAGCTTTTTGGCAATCGCCCGTACAAAGAAAACATCCAGCTCCATGTGCTTAGTTCTGTGATGAACAGGATTATGTGACAACATAACACAGTCCTGAAATTATCACATAGAACAAGAGGAATGCTCCGAGCTGTATTGACTCCCAATTTTGTAAGCCAGCTTTGTAACCAAGTTAACTCAGGTGTTACATTTGCCAGACTTCGATATTCAGCCTCAGTTGAAGACTGAGCAACTACTACTGGCTGCTATTTGGCTGCCCAGGAAATCAAATTACCACCAAGAATGATACATGAACCAGATGCTGAGCGCCTGTCATTAGGATCATTACCCCAGTCTGCATCACACAAGGCAATCAGAGCATTATTGTGCTGTTTTGTCAGTAGTAAACCATGAGAGATAAAGTTCCAACTAGATATCGCAGAATGCCTTTGATAGCAGTCCAGTGGCTCTACCTGGGTTCTTGCATGAATTGGCAAACTTTATTCACACTGAAGGATATTTTTGGCCTGGTAATAGTGACATAGTGCAGTGCCCCCGCATCCTAACGGTATAAATGAGCATCAGCAAACGGACAAGGGTCACGCTCTGATAGATGAGGAGAAGAAACCATGGGAGCTGCCAAACCTTTGGCTTTGGAACCACAAAGATAAGAAGACAGAAAGTTAACAGTAAGTCAATTGTCAACTTCAACCAAAAAAATCTGAGAGTAATAAGTAGGAGCGTTGGTTAATAGTCACAGATCATGCAACTCAAATCAAAAGTGTGTCTGTGTCTATAGTGGGGCTTATGGAGATGGAGACCAATATACTTCAGAATCTTCGAATTCATCGTCTGCCTTACCTGCATAAAGCATGGCTTACTTTGATAATCACAAAATTGTCCCATGCCACCAGCCATGAGTTGCCAGGTGAGATCCTCATAATATGTATAACTTGGTATATCATGTTCATTCTATTTCCATTGCCTCCAATGGATCGTCTCCCCTGTCAAAACAGTCATAAGCACGTGGCCCCCATACTGTGAGTTTTGGAAACTTGTGCAGACCTAAGTTTCCAGCTTCAACATTCTCACATCCCCACATATCAAAACACCCAAGCTTCGAACAAGCACTGAGTATCTTACGAACACCTTCTGTGGTCATCCAATGGCAAGCAATTTCAAGATGCTTGAGGTTAGGCATCGTGGAAGCAATTGCCATTGCTTCATCATCTCGTGAAGACTCGTCATGATTTCCAGTGTCCCATGAATGCATGTTCCTGCATAACCCTTCCAGAAGGGTGCAATTCTTTCCGATCACCTCAAGTCCACGTGCACCCATGTTGATACAGTAGCTCACGTCTAAGAAAGAAATCATTGAAAGCCTTCCAGCAATCTGTTCTACTATGAAATCATTCAAGCAGCTCTTGGGAATTCTCAGAGTTTGGAGACAGGCCGCACTTGCATAATAGAAAACAAAACATGAAAGACCAATATAATCTGTGCTTTCAGATAAGAATATCAGAATCAAAGTTAGATATGCATACTTTTGTGCAATGAAAGTGAAGATGGAGTCAGATTGGAGACCAGAAACACATAGCGTACGGATGGAACCAGAGCTTCTGGTGATGAGCATCTGGACGATTTGATCTAGTTGGTCAGGCTGCTGGGGACAGTTGCTCCATTTCATAAGGTCTATCTCGTGACAGAAATGAGGTTCACTCACTCTATCTTTGAGAGTGACTCTGCTAAAGATTAGCCGTAGTGCCTCCGGTATTAGTTCATCCAAACTTTGATATTCCGATTCTGCTTCCATCGCTATCCTTTCTGTTTTCTCAACAACAACAGAAAATGTTTTTTAACCGACATAAAAAATGCTATACGTAATGATTGAATTGGACGTGTGTGTAAACACAGGTTTGAGGAGGTACAATCCAGCACTTGTCAATGTTTCCCTGGACTTTTTATCAGTTGCAAGATAAGACATAAAAGGCAAAGAGCATAAAATAAATACTACCTTTTAACCAAAAACGCTGAAGCCGTTTTAAAATACAATGGGATACACGGAATGATATGTTCATCAATATCAAAAAAAATTTTTTTTTGGGGGAGACATCAATATCAAATTTTGAAAGTGAGATACTTAAACTTCAATTCAATCATTACGAACCAAAACAAAGACCAACATTGTGAAGGTTACAGAATTTCTAATAATAGTAAAAAAAATGAACACAAAAAAGTTAGGCCAAAAAACCATATACGAACATAAAGAAGCGAGAAAGACTGAGTAATATCTAAAGACTAAAGAGCCAAGAAGTTCATGTCCAGAGAACAGACGACGAGGGACAGAAAAAGGAAAATTAAGGGGAAAATATAATATTTATAAAAGCACCTTCTCTTAACTTGACGAATTCAATCGATATGTAAAGAAAATTAGGTTTGCGATCGAGGACTATAAATACCTTCCTCTGAAGTTGCCCGATTCAATCGAGATGCCTAAAGAACATTAGATCTGTGATCGAGGACTAGTAACTGAATATCACATGTTACTGAGTGAAGAAACGAAACTGGTACGGGCAAGAAGAGAAGAAAAGCCGAAAGAAGTGGTCTACAAAGATGAAGAGAGATTTACCTGGAAATTTCCTTTCTTCGGAATTATAGAGTAGTGTCCCTGAGTACGAGACCGCCCTTCTTCGTCCTCTCTCTCTCTCTCTCTCTCTCTCTCTAACTTACCTCTCTTTTCGTCGGAGGGAGAAAATCTGAGGGAAGGGCGCGAATGGCTTAATCACAGGCGCCGCCGGTATTCTCGGAGGCGCGAAGCAACGCAGGCTTGAGTGTTAATTCTCGGATTTTCATGATTTTATTTGTGAGTACTTTTGGTGTAATTTTTAATGAATTTTACAATGAATTAATTAATTAATTTAGGAAAGTAAAGGAATCTGAATGACGTGGACAGAATCTGCATCACTCATCACTGTTTTATTAATTTCTTCCGATCTAAGGAATTTGCACTTTTTAGTTGAAAGCAGAAGTGCGAGAGTGGGACCCTTAGTTTTCTGGACGTGTTGACTTACCTTATTAATATTTGGCATTATTTTATTAAAATATTTCATATTTCACTTCCAAATTTTGATGTTTTCTCATTTGGCTTAGCTTACCTTTCTTCTGATGCTTTGTACTAAGTTGCCAATTGTTCTATTATTGAGTGAGGTTTAAGACTTAATTAAGAGGTCCTCTTTTTAATTATTTTGTTGTTAATGTTAATCATATAAAATGATCATTCATGGCTTATAATTTAAGCAATTCTTCCCCACTATGCTTATCATTTACTTTCTCCAGCTTTGGTAGGGGCAGGACCCCGAGCTGGCAGTTGTGTAAATTTAAAATATAATGTTGTTGTTATTACTACTATTATTATTATACAGAGTTTTTTTTCTTTTTGGGGACCAGAATGTGAAGTTAAATAATTCATCAGATTCCTTAAAGTGAAAAATGGTTGTTTTAAATCTGATGTCATATCCTCTGTCTCTGTTTTTATTTTTATTTTTTGCAAAGATCCTAACACAATAAATATCCAGCAATAAATTGGAAGCCATCAGATGACACAATTTAACATGAAAATATTTGATGTAAAATATATTCGCTATTATTGACTCATATTTGAGTATTGCAAGTTAAAAATAGTTGTCTCAAGATCATATTTTTCATATGCAAAATTCAAATTTTTGAATATGAAGAAAATTTAGATCAAGTCAATAAAATGCTAATTTGAGAAAAAAAATTCAGGGAGATGTAAAAGTTTTTTTAAGAAAAGAACTCAGGAAGCTCAAAATGTTCTTTTTTGGGGGCCATTAATTAATTCAAAACACTCAAAATATAAAAATATTGACAGACTGTTTAATTTCTGTTTTCAAAAATAGTTTATTGTTTTCACTAGAAAAAATAGAAATATTTTAAAGCTTTTTTATTTTATTTTTTATTTTTAAAATATATTATATTTGATTATTGAAAACTACAGTTACTTTAATCAATAATTATCACAAATTATTATTATTAACTGCTAGTGACCATTATTATTGACCAATTTTTTTAATTTTAATTTTTTTTTAAATTAATACAATGAAGAAGATTTTTTTTTTATTTTATTTTAAAAAATAAATTTAAAAACTGTATTATAAAATAATTTTTAAAAATAAAAAATAAGAATAAAAACCAAACAAGCTTGGATTGATTGGCTTTTTTTTTTTTGGTAATTGATTGATTTAGATTTGACACTATCAATTGAGGCAACACAAATAACTTTCCCCTTTACAGATAAAGCATAATATGAAAGCTTTCTTGGCGATTCACCAAAAAAAAAAAAAAAAGATAATTCACCGTGTGACTTGAAATGAGGTGGGTTAGGAGAAAAAAGAGAGGTAGTTTGGCCATTTAATTGAGTTTTTCAATAGAAAATCTTATTGATTATTATATGCCTCCTTTAAAAATATATTTTTAAAAAACTTCATTAATTACATATTAAAAGATTCCACATATTTTATATTTTTTAAATTAATTATTTAATTTTTATAATTTTTATTTAATTGTAATTTACTTTTTAAATTTTGATTTATTATAACTTAAGTCCTAAAATTTTAATTTGATTGTAACTTGATTCTTAAATTTTAATTTTTATAATTCAGTATCTATAATTTTAAGCATTTAAATATTAGTTTATTTGTCTTAAAAATAAAATTATAAATATTAAAATTATATTAAATATATTGAATAAGTTAGAAATATAATTATAAAATTATAAATATTAGAATTTATTCGTCCTCTTCAGCTAGAATATATTGAATAAGTTAGAATTTCTGGGGAATAATATTGGAAAATACTTTTTGCTTTATATAATAAAAAATATTATCAGGTGGAATGGAAATAGAAGAGGAAGTTTCCACTGCCAACCATTGGCGCGCTTGAATAGTCGCCAAGATGAGGACCCCACAAGGCCACAACCTCCTCCCTCCCCCACCAAACAAGGGAGGATCACGCGAAGCAAAAGCCGAAGGGCTGACCAACTCTCACATCTCTCTTTCTCCACTTTTACAGTCAACAGTCAATCCGCCTTACACTGCTTCACAAATCTACCACTATCACCTTCGCTTCTTTCTCCGCTCAAATGGCCGCCGCTTCCTTCTCCAACTTCTCCTCCCTCTCTTTCTCTCTTCCATCTAAACCCCATTGTTCCTATCACAACCGCTCTTCTCTTCCAAGCCTCACCCTCATCACGCGCCGTGCAAAACAATCTCCTAATCTCTTCTCTTCCAATCTCACTTGCTCCGCTCCTATTTTCTCCCCTACCCATTTGCTCCGTCCGCCGAAGACCACCATTTTTTCAGTGGGGGACGGTGGCGGGAGCATTGGACATGGAGGTGGAGGTGGAGGTGGCGGCGGCGGTGGGTGGGACGGTGAAGAGGAGGGCAGAGAACACAATAAGGAGGAGGCTTTGTTGGTGCTTGCGCAGGTGGGCAGGTCGCTGGACAGTTTGCCGGCGGATTTAGCGGCGGCGATCAAGGCGGGGCGTGTGCCGGGTTCGATTGTGAGGAGGTTCTTCGATTTGGAGAAGTCCGCTGTGTTCCGGTGGTTGCTCAATTTCGGAGGGTTTAAGGAGCGTTTGTTGGCGGATGATTTGTTCCTGGCCAAGGTTGCTATGGAGTGCGGGGTTGGGATCTTTACTAAGGTTCGTTTCTCAGAATGATATTAATTGAATTCAGTTAATTAGGCACATTTGTGTCTGATGCTGGACGTGATTATTTAAACTTGTTGATTGCAAGTCTAGCTGAATTTAATCTCCTTTCTTTTGTCTTTCAATCACATTCTTAATGCTGTTAGATGTTTCTTTTACATGCTACTTACACTGGGAACAAAGACACTTTCATTTGCCATGTTTATATTTTATTAGCTACCATCGTAAGAATGCTGTGTCCTGTATGTAAAATGGAGTTTTCTAGGTCACTCAATTGATAATGAAAATATAAGCCATGAAATGAGACGTATTTATCATAGTAAAAAAAAAAAAAAAGACCGAACGAATATTCACACTGGCCTTAATTGTTTAGATTTTGGATGCGTATCTATTTATCTCATTGAAATTAAACCCCCATTTTCAAGCAATACATGTCATGAGTTTACTTTTTGATTGTTCCCTGCAGATTTCAGACCACTATTTCTTGGAATTTGATGGTTTTATTTTCTTTTAAAATTTATTTAAAACAAGACATGTAACTCAGGAGAGGAACCGTGATTTTGTCATGGCGCCACAGAATTTAAATAATTAAAATATAGTCATGTTTTTAGTTCTTCCATTATCATTATCAATGTACTGAATAAAAAACAGAGGATGCCAAATTGAAACAATGTTGAGAACCAAAGTCTCTAATACAATAAATTGAATCTTTTCTCCTACTATCTATCAAATCAAGTTTATTTTTCTTAGTTCTCATTACTGTCATTAAGACGGAGTGCAAAGCTCAGGTTTGTTTCTTGGTTCTTCACTTGGAGCTTATTCATTTCTGCGTCCCACACTTATCAGACATTTTGTCCATCTATAATGAAAATTCAGAATCCTTTTCTGCGTCCCACACTTATCAGACATTTTGTCCATCTATAATGAAAATTCAGAATCCTTCTTGCTTTTCAGACTGCTGCAGAGTTGGAGCGGCGCAAAGAAAATTTTTCCAAGGAGCTGGATTTTGTTCTTGCTGATGTGGTATGCCATTCAACAATATATATACACTTCTATGTTATGCAGTGTCAGTTGACTAATGCAACCATGTAGAGTGTCCAACAAGATAGAAATCTAGAAATTTCCCCAGCCCTTTTCTTCCCAGGATTGGGATCTAAATGTGTTTTTTGGATGGTAAATTGAAAACTATGGCTGAATTGTCTACTAGCCCTCAGCTTTATTTGGAAGATTTGGTCATGATGCTTTTCTAGATGAGAATGAAATTAAGTCTGAAAAACCCAGGTGCTCTGTAAAATTGTTTATAATTGTACAATGAGCTGCTTGTGGCATGCCACTAAATCACTGCATGTGAATTGAGTTGTTTTTACGAACAAATATTCTTGGGTTGCAAACATGTAAATATATATGCAACAAAATGAAATAAAAGTGTTGTTTTAGCTAATCCTTTTAATAGCTATTTTCTTTTGGTCTAACAACATAATGCAATAGGTAATAACATGAGCAGATTTTGCCTGCTCAGTTAAAAGTCCATCTGCATTATTTAACTTCTATTCCGCAATCTGCTTAGGATCATATTTTTCTCTTGCTACTAATCAGCTTTGGTTTTACCTTTTAGCATGAATGTCTCTGAAGAATTCAGGCTGACTTTTTCGTTATTAAGCAGATCAGTGCCATCTAATTTGTTTATTTGATATCTTCAATAGGTAATGGCTATTGTAGCAGATTTTATGCTTGTGTGGCTGCCAGCTCCCACGGTTTCCCTCCGACCACCTCTTGCAGTTAGTGCTGGATCTATTGCTAAATTCTTCCATGGCTGTCCTGAAAATGCTTTTCAGGTTGGCACTGTTTGCAAAGCTTTCCACATTTCCCTTTTTTTTTAATTTTTTTTTATTTCTGTAGATAATTGATATGATATAAATATCACATTGATTGAACAGGTGGCCTTGGCTGGAACGTCATATTCTCTTTTACAGAGAATAGGTGCTATAGTGGTATGTTTTGGATCACGTAAAGAATGACATAAATTACTTCATTGTAAGTGAGGATTTTTATCATCTCCATCTATTATGCAGCGTAATGGAGCGAAGCTATTTGCAGTTGGGACGGGCGCATCTCTGGTAATTTAACTCCTAATGTGCTTGAAAATACCATTTTAGTGTTGTCTTAGTATTCATCCACTGAGCATAGCATCAAATCTATCCATCGCCAAAAACCTTGCTCCTGGTCATTGCAAATGGTATTCCATTCTCTGTGGTTGCTACTATTCTGATCTTCAAAATAATAGAAATAGTCATGTTTAACAATTTTTTGGCATGTAGTTGAATGTGTTCTGTAAGCATAAGTTGTTGCCAGAAAAGAGGATCTGGCAGCTACTGTGCCCTTCTATTTTTTTTTTTTTAACCTCCCTATAGGAAAGCCATTGCACTATTTTCATTTCTTTGATTCTCATGGGTAATGAAGAACTATGAAAGTAAAGTCGTCATTTCAATTTGCAAACCTGCTGCTGGTACCTGTTTCATGGTGTTTATTGTGCTAGTGCTAGTTTGTGCTAGAGCTTATATCAAAAGTATTGAGCAAGAATGCTAGATTCTTTTTTGGAAAATGAGAAGAGGAAGAAATAGGTTATTAGGTCAACAAATTGAATAGATAATGAAAATTTAATAATGAGATCTTATTGTAGAGTCATCTCTTTCTTGGGGACTCTTGCTCCTCTGGAGTCTGGACCCCATATTGTTCATCATATAGGTGCACAGTTTTCTAAAAGAACATCTCCTTTGCAGTTGGATGTCATCTACGATGCCAAATCTTATTCTTCTTCGTGCTTAGCTGATCCTATTTGTTTGGTTTAATTGTATGATATTCTTCATATAGTTTCCTAGATTTTAGCTAGAAAGATTTTATGATGCATATCTTATAATGAACTTCACTTTGATTTGAGGCAGGAATCACTTTGTTGGCATTGGGGCGTCTATCTTGTTTCATGATTGGTGTATATTATAGCATATATGAAATCAACATAAAGAATACGTAATGTTTAAGTGATAGTATCATGACTGTTGCAGTGCCTTTTCAGGTTGGTACAGGTGTAACAAATGCATTGATTAATGCTCGAAAGGCTGTCGATAAATCTTTTGCTGCGGAAGCTGAGGATGTACCGATAATATCGACCAGTGTTGCATATGGGGTTTACATGGCAGTATCTAGCAACCTGAGGTGTGTCATTATCTAAAACATTATACTACAAATGAATGCTCCTTTGTCTACTAAATTTTCAACTAAAAAATTAAATCTTATTCAAGGAAATCACATCAAGCTGTGAATGGCTGAATGCATTGCACCTTGAGGGATGATGGACGCCATAATATAGTTTTGACCAAGAAAACCATACTTGAGATATTGCATTAATTCTGACCCGTTGCATACTGTTGATGTTTTGGATAAAATAATTGCACTGCTAAGCTAATTTGACATGGAATGGAAATGCTAGCCTGCTCAAATACCATTCTTAGAGTGCTAGTGTACAAGGGTAAAAACATATCTGCTATTGTTTTACTTATCGAGAAAGCAAAAGCATAATGACCTTGAATTGGCATGCTGGTTTTTTATCTGTTCACCCCGCTTTTGATGAATGGGATTTTTTTGGAGGTTGTATCCGTTCAGCTGCATGCATAATCACTCTAATTTTGATATTGGAATTCACTGTTATTACAATGAATCCTATTCATATGAATATCTGAGGGCATTTTAATAATCTCTCTGCACAGCACAAACCTTGTTCAATTCTAGTTCCTACACCTTAAATCTGCTTTGCTCTTTGACTTCTGTATGCAGTTTATATAAATTGTGATAACAAGCGCTATACCGGTGGTACTAAGGCTTAGGGTGGTATTTCACAAAAAATGAAGTAATAGTTTGTGCTTTAACTAGTTAAAAATCTAGCCTGGGAACATCAGCAAATGATTCTGAATGAACAAGACACCTGAATCAAGGAAGATTTTTGCATGTGTGTATGATCTGGTATATATGTTCAGGAATGCAAGGGGGAATGTATATGTTTTGAAGTATTTTTTTTTTAATATTTTGATTCACATCTCAGAACTAATACTTCCACTGTGCAGCTAACACAGCTGTTAGGAATTTTTGTCATGATAAAAATGATCCGATGGTTACATTTATGTTTGTGCCTGGAAGAAGAGAAAAAAAGGACGTTGTCTTGGAAGTAATACTGATGTTCTACATGCACATGTTTAACTAAGAAGAAGAAACTATTATAAAGATGATTTACTAAAGGATGATTCACTAAGGTTGGATGAGGGAGCCTTTCTCCTCGTCCAACCCATCATGCCTAGATAATCTCCAGTTATGTAAACATCCATCCATACTTTGCTATGTATTTACTCCTGAAAAAAGCAAACGTAATTAGACCCTACTTTGCACTGAAGATGAAAGGGATTTGACAGCTATAATACCGCATTTTTGCATAAATGAATTGAGCGATGTCTGATTCTTGTGTGCATATGCAGAATTTAACAGAGGCTTTGTCTTTGTGGATGTCTTTTAGGTACCAAATACTCGCAGGAATTATTGAACAACGGATTTTAGAGCCTTTGCTACATCAACAAAAGCTTATACTAAGTGCAGTTTGCTTTGCTGTTAGAACTGGCAATACTTTCTTGGGCTCACTGTTGTAAGATTCTCGACCGAACTCGGATTATCTTTAAATCGTTTTTCTGCATCCTCTCTTTTTTAAAGAAATTTATTACATATATTCTGTAAATAGGTGGGTCGATTATGCTCGGTGGGTTGGAGTCCAGAAAATACGGGATTGAACATGCCGGTTTTCCAACTAAGAAGTACAGTATGCGTCGATGTTTCGTGAGACAGATTCAGCCAAATCATTGTATGTAATTGCTGAATTGGGTGGAGTTCCAATCAAATTTGTTTCCAGCGGGTAAACTGGCTGTACAAATAATTTATCAGAATAACAAAGATTGGTGAGTGCGAGTCTCTAGATACCACCATCACTGGTGGTCAGTGACAGCATTTTGATCCTCCATAAACTGGCATAAGTGGCTAGATGAAGTTGGGTCTCGTTTTTTTTTTTTTTTAAATAAAGTTAGACAACTGTGGAAATATCCCTCAATTGATTATGTTGATGGTGGTGGTGGTGGTGGTGGTGGTGGTGGACTGTGTTAGTGTGTAGTCTCTTATATTGAGAATGAATGGCAACAAGTTTGTGGACATTGATATTTCTCGTGTTTCCCCTACTGCTTCTTCCCATTCCCATTATTCGCTTGTCAGGGAACATGGACTCGCGCAGATAACATGATAAGGTGTGAAATGTTTAGATATGAATCATTGTCCACTTCATTTCATGCAAGAAAGGGAACTGAAGAAAGGGCATTGGAATTTTCCAAAAGTAAACTAGAGTTGCATATCTTTCTTTCTTTGTTGTTTTTAATAAATCATCTGATGTCTGAAAACCAACGTGGCAAAGTCAAGACCCCATATCAGGGGATGCAGATTAATTTTAAAAATAATGATTTAAAAAGAATTATTTAACATTTTTTAAAAATAATCATATATTTTATAATTGTTCCCTACTTCTTGTCAAATGTTATTAAAAATATTCTCTTCCATATAAGTCACTAATTTATGATATTATTTATATATAAAAATATATAATAATTAATTAGAGATTTAAAAAAAATAAATAAATAAGTATATTCGTTTATAAAAATTATGTTGGAGTTTTGAATTTAGTAATTCATAATTGAACTTAAGTTAAAATATTCACTAAAAAAGGACCTAGTTTTTAAGGAGTTCAAAATTTTGTGGCCAAAAAAAATAAAATAATAAAATATTTACTATTCATTTGCAATTTCTTTCAAGTTGAGGGGGTGCATATGCCCCCCCTCAAATACATGTAGCTCTGCCATTAGCTCTAACTAATTTAGATTGAGTTTGATCTAGACCAAGTTTCACCATAAAACACTTACATTTTTAAAACTCACACTCAAAACCTTTAATTAATTTAGTATAATTTTTAAAACTGTTTGGATAATTTGCTTTTAGCTTTTAGAAAGTCTTTTTTAGCACTTTATAAAAGTTGAAAACTGTTTGTATAAAAAATTTGGGATGAAAATTCATTCTAAATGTATAGTTTGAAAGTAGTTAAAAGTATATTTTTCAAATGTAACTCCTCACAGCTTTTTAAAAGTGAATTTTGATAGTGCATTAGAGTGTTAGTTATTACCATTTCTTATTCAGGCTAATTTGAACTCTCATTGTATAGGATCATTATTTATTAATAATGTTAATGTATATTAAACTGTTTATTTAATTTTTGTCTAATATATCAAACTTTATATTTTTTTTTATTGTAATTATTTAACACATGAAATTTTATGTTATTTAAAATTTTTATCACATATATTTTTCAACATTTCTAATATATTCTATAACAAAAATTACAAATTATAAAAGTGAATGTCTTTTTTGGTCATAGTAATTCATAAGTATCTTTTATTATGTATAATCTCAACAATTTTTAGTTTACTAAGTTAACTTTAAAAAAATATTTAAATACAAATTTTGTTAAAATAATTGATGTTCATTAAATTGATTTTTGTTGAATAATTTTTTAATAAATTAACTTTTGACAAATGAAACCAAAAGAGCACTAAATGCGTAATTTTATAAATGCTACTTGATTTTATTTTATTAAAATATAAGAATAAAATTTTATTAAATTTAAATTGTCTAAATTGGCCAAAATTGGATCCATGAAACCCACTTTACTCGAGAAATACCCTTAAACCCCAAAATTGCACAACTTCTATCTAATGTGTTTTCAATAATTTCATTGTAAATCTAAACTATTCAAATGAAATTTTAACAGTATAAATTAATTTATATTTCTTAAAAAAAATTATGATGTAAAAGTATCAAATATTAAATTAAAATATTTATATTAAACAAATCAAATTGGGGTAGAAATGGCGAAAAATGCAGCATGTCAGCCTCTGAAGAAAAATGCCGTCAAATCGGTTTGATCTTCCCGCTTCAGCAATGTCTGGTCCGACACAGCCCAATCTTGTCTGAACCCAAAAAAACCAGCCTGAACCAAAAGATGACCACACCAGATCGGGTTGGTTATCTGGGTCATACCAGGTTGCAGGTTGCCTCTGTAGGCCAAACGGTCTGGTCTGACCCGGTACTCTCTTTAAAAAAAAATGAAAACATTAAAAGGCTGTCTTGTCCCAATATTGGCCGAACCCCAAATTCATTCATCTGCTGAACTACCGAAGCTCATCTTCTCACACTTCTCGTTTCACTTTCGGCGGCCGACCACCATCATAATCCTCACTTTTCTGTCTCAACTTCGGCCGTCCACTAGCCTTCCTCTCATCTTCTCCATCAATTCGTCCTCTCACTCTCCTTCGCAAGACGATCATGAAAAGCTGTAAAGAGAGCTACAATGAGGAAGAGAGTATGGAATAGTCGAGAGGCAATGATGGGACCTTCATCGTCCAGATCTAGTGATGCTCAGGCTCAGGCATGATTCACAAATGGAAGTCCGTTTGCTTTCGCTACTGGTGAGAAGGCTGCTGTTTTGTTCTTATGCTTTCCTGCCATCGATGTGCATTGTTCTTCTCACCATCGACCTATTCTTCTTCTTCCTCCTCTATTGCTATCCATATTTTGTGGGTCTGTTATTGTGAAAAACGTTAGCTTTTTGGAGTTTCTTTCCCATCCTTTAGAAACATGATGTTGATAATTATTTTGTCTAATTTTTTTTCATTTTTTTGCTTTTTTTCTTGTTAGATTGAATATATATCCCTGAACAGAATGCTTTTCCATCTTCTCCTTTGCCTGTTTATCAATCACAAAAAGGGAAAAAAGAATTTATTCCCATGGAATGGCCTTCCACTTGGACCTCGTTGTTACAGAAATGCTCCTCTCTCTCTCACATCAAGCAACTCCAAGCTCATCTTATCACCACCGTCCAATTCCAATCCCACTCTTCTCGCACCAAGCTCCTTGAGCTTTGCGCCATTTCACCCTTCGGTGACCTTTCTTTTGCCTGCGAAATTTTCCGGCAAATCCAAACACCGTCCACCAATGATTGGAATGCCATTGTTCGAGGCTTAGCGCAGAGCTCACACCCCACACAAGCCATCTCATGGTACCGCACCATGTTGCGGAGGTCCCAAAGGGTGGATGCTCTAACTTGCTCGTTTGTACTGAAGGCGTGCGCTCGTGCTTTGGCTCTCTCTGAAGCCTCACAGCTGCATTCTCAGATTGTGCGTTTAGGAGTCGAAGCTGATGTTTTGTTGCAGACCACCTTGTTAGACGTGTACGCTAAATCGGGTGATCTCGATGGTGCACAAAAGGTGTTTGATGAAATGGGTTTGCGTGATATAGCTTCGTGGAATGCATTGATTTCTGGGTTGGCACAGGGGAATCGGCCCAACGAAGCCATGGCTTTGTTTAACAGAATGAAGGAGCAGGGTTGGAAGCCAAATGAGGTCACTGTTCTCGGTGCACTCTCTGCTTGTTCACAATTGGGTGCTTTGAAACAGGGTGAAAATATTCACGGGTACGTAGTGAATGAGAAGCTAGACATGAATGTAATTGTTTGTAATGCAGTTATTGATATGTATGCAAAATGTGGGTTTGTAGATAAAGCATATTCGGTCTTCAATAACATGAGTTGCAGGAAAAATATTATTACATGGAATACAATGATTATGGCATTAGCAATGAATGGTGATGGACACAAGGCATTGGATCTTTTGGGTCTAATGGCTCAAGATGGAGTGAAGCCAGATGCGGTATCATATCTTTCTGCATTGTGTGCATGCAACCATGCTGGTTTGGTGGAAGAGGGTGTTAACTTGTTTGATTCAATGATGAAGTCTGGGGTTAAACCCAATGTTAAGCATTATGGTAGTGTAGTTGATTTGTTGGGTCGAGCAGGAAGGCTCAAAGAAGCTTGTGACATTATAAACTCTATGCCTATGTTCCCTGATGAAGTACTTTGGCAGACTTTGCTTGGGGCCAGCAAGACATATGGGAACGTCGAAATGGCAGAGATGGCATCAAAGAAGCTGGTGGATGGGATCTAGCAGTTGTGGAGATTTTGTGTTGCTATCAAATATTTATGCAGCTAAAAAGAGATGGGATGATGTAGGGAGGGTGAGGGAAGCCATGAAAAATAAGGAGTAAGGAAGGTGCCAGGATTTAGTTACATGGAAGTAGAAGGTGGGTTACACAAGTTTGTAAATGGTGATCAGAGTCATCCGAATTCCAGGGAGATCTATGCAAAGCTGGATGAGATTAAGTTCAGGATTAAGGCCTATGGATATACAGCTGAGACTGATCTGGTATTGCATGATATAGGGGAGAGGACAAGGAGAATGCTTTGAATTATCACAGTGAGAAGTTGGCAGTGGCATTTGGGTTAATTAGTACAATCGATGGAACCTCAATTCAAGTTATAAAAAACCTTAGAATATGTGTGGACTGTCATGCTGTGATGAAAATTATATCAAAGATTTATAGTAGGGAGATCATTGTGAGAGATAGAGCACGGTTTCACAGATTTAAGCAGGGTCTATGTTCTTGCAAAGATTATTGGTAAAATGCAATTTTGTTTGTAAGCAGTTTCAATGGAGATATTGGAGATAATATTAAGTATTCATTCATTTGAATGTTCAAAGAAATTGGAACAATAATTTTTCTCATAATTGCATCTCGATCTCTGTTTGGCAAGAAGAATAATTGGGATGAAACAAACTGCCGAAGTTTTGTGATCAAAGGTAAATGTTGGGCAATGAAGTTTAGTCAAGTTAATGTCTATGGAGACACTACAAAGAGTTTTTCGCTAATCATCTTCTTGTGCTGCAACTATCAATAACATTAGAGAACTTATGATGAGGGATTGGAATATCATCTTTAATCACATTTTTGAGAAGTTAATAAATGTATGATTTGATGGCTCATTTAGCATTTAGTGATAATTTAAATGTTCAGATTTTTGATAATCTGTCCTCAGGTTGTATGAATATTTGCATGTCGATAAGACTTAGACTTGTCTGTCT